TCTCTCTCTCTCTCTCTCTCTCTCTCTCTCTGACGTACCGAAACCCTTAAACTACTCCACTTGAATGACGCCCCTCCTCTTCCTGAAACTACTCTCTCTCTCTCTCTCTCTCTCTCTAAAAGTTGCAGGTGACAGTAGGCGTTTATCCAGATCGCTTCCTGCTTTCTCACAAGGTATGCTGCTCTTTACGGTGACCCATGTATTTTTCTCTCTCTAAAAAAGTTATCTATTTTTATGGGCAGGTCTTGATATGGTTGTGTTTGCTGACCATGGTTTAAGTAGGGTAGAATGCTTTTCAGTTCATGCCATTTTTATGAGATTATGGTTTGTTAGGATTCCTTGTAGAAGAGTTATGTGATTAGGGTCTCTCTCTCTAATTACGCTTTCTCTCTATGAGCAAAATTGTTCTTCCGATTTTTGTGAAGTTTGCGTCTCTCTGAAAAGGAACAAAAGGAATGCATGGTGAAGTTTGCTTCTCTATGTGGTTTCGAAAGATATTGATGATTTCTCGATTTTTCATAAGCCTCTGATTCTTTAGTTTTGACCAGGCTAATACCCCTTCTTTCAGGTATTAGTAGGAATTTTTCAGTTCAGAAATCAAGGATTACCTCATTGCTTTTCTGTTTGCTACAGATTTTCTATCAATCTGTTGTTACGAATACGGTTTTGAAATTGAAATTCTCTGTCTGTTTCATTTAGTTTTCTAAGGTTTCTGTTTCTTGGTTTTGTTCTGATAAGAGCTTTGACAATTAGGGGAATTTCCGCTTTCACTTTAATTTGGCCATTTATTGGTTTTTGGGTGATAAAAGCCTGGAATTTGATCAATTGATCTCTCTTTATAGTCCTCTCATTTGTGACATCCCTTCGTGGTCTTTGAATTTCTGCAACTTCCCTTAAATGCTTGATGAAATTTCTCTCGAATTATGGCTTATTAATGGTTGATTTATGGATAAATTTTTTATTACTTCTAAACTTGAAGCACCTATCAAATAAAAAAATCCGATTGTGAAAAGCTGGATTTCAGTGTTCTCATTTCATTTTAGATGCAAATTGGTGGTGACTTTTATCTCCTTCACTAAAACTCTGTTCTATACATTTTCTTGATAAATAATATATGCAAAAATATATTATCACATAAATACACACATTGAAGTACCGATAAAAGATAAGTTATTTCCTATCAAGAATAGCAAATAACTTGACACAGATATTTGACTCGATTTCTGTGACTTACGAATATGTGTATATGAAATTTATAATGGTACTGTAGAATATGATACTTGTGAAGTATTTTCTAGTCTGTCTGCATAGCTTTTTTTTCTTTTACCCATTGCTGATTGTGACCAGTGACAATTGCATCTTATCCAGTGGGAACTAGTTCCTGTTCTTGTGAAGTATTTTCTAGTCTGTCTGCATGGTGTTGAGTTTTTTCTGTCTATTTTTTTCTTTGATGTTCTTTGAGTTTGTCTCATAGGAGAGCAACTTTATTTCATTTCGATTGAGCTAGTGGGTTTATCTTGAATCTTCTATTTGGATATTGCATGGTCTATTTGGATATTGCATGGATGAGATGTGGCTTTTGAAACTTCCACTAAGTATAGCATGTGACTCTTGTAACCAATGTGACTACATTTTCTTTGCTAAGTTGTGTGTGTGCTTGCGGGGTTAACACATTGTGGTCTCTTAGCATCATGGTAAATATAAAAGTTTTGTAGGAGAGTTGGAAAACCTAACTAGATTTGAGTGTCATACAATTGAATTGGAGAAACTAGTTAAAACCATTTTTATGCGGTTTATGTCTTTTAATCCTCTTTTACAGTAAGAGCTGAAAGTATTTGGCATTTGAAACTGATGTGCTTCAGAAGACTGGAGCTGTATAAATATTCCTGATAGTAGTATACATTGTAGTTAAGTATAAAGTGATGCATTCCTTTGTGACTTACCGCTTCGAAGAGTACATTCAATGAATGGAAGTTTTTCATCTAGTCTTGAAGGCCTTTCAGTTGTTAGATAAAATTCTTGTACTTTGTGTACTAGTGCAATCAACAAATGCATTCTCGTGCAATTTGATGGATTAGATTATTTAGTTGTCAGAAATATTTAAAAACTTGCAGGGTTTAAACGGAATGTGGCTGAGTTACTTGGACTAGGCAGCTCGACAAGTCCTGAAGGCCCCCAACTTGGGTTAATTGTTGGAAGCCTATACTGTAGCAGTATTGACCCAAGTTGCTACATTAACTTGGGCGAGTACCTTTCTTTCTTAGGAGAGTTCAGTATACTGGATGAGTCCATAAAAACTCGCTGAGTTTGAAACTTCTTTGATGTAAAAGTAGGGGAAGGAAGAGTGGTGGGAGCGCCTGCAGAAAACAATTTCTTCCATTTTCTTCATCTCTTGAGGTCGAATCTCTTTCAAAATTCACCCCTTGTCATATTTGTCTATCCTACATCAAATCCAAACATCAGATTCGACCAAAAAAATTGAAAAAAGGGATTTGTGAGATTTTTTTCAAATTAGGTTTTGGGCAAAGTTGTTTTCTTCCTTGTATTTTGCGATCCTAGCGCGATCCACCTTGAAAATTCATCCCTAATGCCTATTTTTGTGTTCTCTATGGAATCCAAAACTTACAAAAAGCATCAAAGAATCTCGGATTTTCGCAATTTTTAAGGCAATTGATAATCGAAGAAACCCTATGTAATCTGAAAACTAAACTTTTTATTTTAAATTTTTTTTATGATTTTATTTTTCCATTTTCATTTTTTCCTAACTTCTCAATTTTTTGGGTTTTTTGAGCCTTTCTAGGGGAGCCAAGCTGAGTTGCTCCAGGCCCTTGCCTAGTCCCAGAGTGAGTCCTGGTTTTTTGAACTCTGATTATCATAAAGCCTATTGAGGTTGAAACTTTCTTTCTCTAAAAAGTGGCTAATTGAAAAGATATAACCTGATAATCTGAAAAGTGTTGGAAACAGAGTTTTAAGAATCGGCAAGTGAACTTGTCACTCACTTGAGAGTAACCCGCCTCATGTAATTGCTGAGTTGGTACAGTGAGACTCTATCAAGTTCTGTGGTGTTACTTGACTCAGTTCAGAACCTGTTCTTTTCAAGTTATGGTTAGACAAGAAATCTGATGAGATGCTTTCAAAACCCATAGACCAGTAGCAACCACAGACTTAGGCAAACCAACCAGTTGTGACTTATAATATATTTGAATTTAGATGAATGGGTATACATTGCTCTTATATTTGAATTTGACCAACCGTGAAAAACTTGCGTTGGTGCATTATTGTAGCTCAATTGATAGAAAATATCCATCATCATGATAACTAAAGAAGCAGTTCTACTTATCTGGAGAGGATATGTCTAACAAAGCATAGCTTCTCCTTAATATTACTGCTTCATAAATGTGAGTTGAATTTTTTCTCTTCACGTGTTATATGGGTTTTAGCTCTCCACACTTTTGCATGTTCTTATTGAAAGTTACTCCTATCGATTCTCTTTGCTAAAGGCTTGTCCTTTTGTTTCAATGGTTGTTCAGGACATCTTTGACACACTAATTATGGAGGAACATTTCATACTCCGGGTTTCACCATCCATTGCTGAACGGATAGATCGCCTTCTCGATGAGAATCCTATGTCCTCTGAAGATAATTCATTGGATTTATTCTTCTCTGGTATTTTTATTGTTATTCTAAGATTCTTCTTTTTGTTTATTAATTTATTGATTAGACATTTAGAGACTTGATGTTCTATATTGATTTAGAGACATGAACTTTGAAAATGTCTGTGAAACTTCATAATATGTACATATTCAGCCAATTAATGTATAATTGATTATCTCTTTTACCTCATCATGAAATGAATATTATTGGATTTGTTTCTCTCGTTATATATAACCTTGTCACGTATTCTCTTCTTCACGGCATGAGAAATCAGACACCCTGTCCCTGTCTCGAACACTGATACATATACCCGTGCTCATGCTACATGGACGAATCTTCCTTCTTAAAGTGGTTATATATAGTAGAGTTTGCTTCTTTTCTCGAACCACAACCTCAAGATCAAGAGGAACATAAGAATCCAGATACTCCTTTAATCGAGGCTTCTTCTACGCAAACCCCCTTTGCCTACCACTAGAGCCCACTTAGGTTCCCCTTCCTCATAATATAAATATTCTTCTTCTTCTCCAGAAAAATCTATTTATCTTACAATATTCTCATACCTTTTTCTTCCTATCCTTTTTTTTATTTTTGGCCCGCTTCAATGGGTCAACATCTCTCTATGAACTTGAGGCTGCAGCATGGGGGCTACATCCCCTCTATTGCTAGCCAAATGTTTTCAATATTCAACTTATGCCGACATTATAAATTCCTCCACAAAATCTGCATTGCACCCAATTCTCATCGTTTTGATTGGCCAATTCTCATCATTTTGATTGAGGGGTCGTCACTTGGTGTGACGGTAAAAGGCTCGGGTAGCCAGCACAAGAGCACAGGTTCGAGTCTTGAGAGCGGCCACTTTGTGCATAAAAAGCCAAAGGTTAGGATCGTTTCCTGCTCACCCCTCCCGAGACCCTGTGTAGGCGGGACCAGCACTAGGTTACAGCCCTTTTATCTATTTGTCACCTACTCAGTCAACAAATAACCACCAAAATCTAAAAAGTGCACAAACCACGAAATCCAATATTTTGAATATATATATATATATATATATATTCAACATTGAAAACAATGATCCAAACGCAATTTGAAAAATATCACGAAGCCCTAAACCCAAAATCAGTAATTTACCACTCTTCAAGTCTCACAATTGGTAGTCTTTTATACTTTTTGATTTCAAAAGAAATTGAAAGGTCCACAAATAATTTCTCCAGACTTTAAAATAATCTAAAAACCTTGTATTTGATTTGTCGCTCTCAAATTCAAGTAACAAGTGCCATTAGTTTTGGCGGGTTAGAATGCCCCCAAAACCCTTCTCCCCACTTTTAGAGGGAAAAAAGACCAAAAATACACCGACCTGATGGTTATTTTCTGCCTTTGGGCTGATGGCAGAGGTGCCCGCCTTGGCGTTATCAAGGCACCAGGCAGACCCCTAGTCAGAATCTTGGCCAAAAAGGTGGGAGCCTTTGGTAGGGCCCTGTCCTAAGCGCCGGCCTACCCCTAGACGATGTGCCTAGGACCTTGGCCCACCTCTAGGCACGGCTTTAGTGCTAAGGCCGGCCGAATTTTTAAACACTGTTTTTTACGTTGTTAAATATATGTGAGCTTGAAACAGTGAGCATAATTGCTGTCAGATGACTTACTCCAAGTTGTATTGGCTAGACTTGGGCTTATTATAGTTGTGGTCCAGGATGTCCATATGTTGCTGTTCTACAATGTATTTTATAGGCCTTGAACTCATGTTGCTTGGGTCACGATATTTCTTGTACTAGTTTGTCCTATTTAGAAAATGTAAGCGTCGTTACTTTGCATGAAAATGCTGGTTTGGAACTTCAGGGGTTCATTTGTGGAGGCAGTGTTAGTTGACATTATGGGTTGTGGTCTCCCTTTCACTTTCTCTTTGGTTGCACTTTGAGTTCCTTTTTAATGTGATTGGTTTACCTTGGTTTTCTTGGTTGGAGTTTTGATGTGGTCACATTTGTTTCAAACGTGGTGGTGCTTAGGATTTGGTTTCAATGGTGAATTTGTACTAGCAGCAGCTGTTGGTCACCGATCGTAGCATGGATGATGGTTCTGCCAACAGGTTTGGTGATGGTTGTGTTTTTGGACTTTGCTAGTCATGTCACAGAGGCAGTGACTTGCATGATCATTCTGATGGTGCATTTAGGTAGTGGTTGAGGAATAGGTATCGTAAAATTCATCAAATTTGGTGGAAGATTCGGTGGCATAGAGGTGGTGGTGAACTAGCTGGTGGCATTGGTGGAATTTGTGAAGGACCAATATCAATCGAGGAACAGACGATATGATTGGTGGTGGCATTGGTAGATTTGGTACTGGTCCAAGCAACCATGGCATGATTGGAAGTAGAGATGGCCTAGACAGCTTGTGCAGGCTATTTTCATTTGTGGGAAACTGCTTTACCAATCTTTAACCACTCTTTCATTGTAGTAGATGCCAACTGTGTTCTGGAAAACCTCTCTTGTTGCTCATGTGACCTAGCCTCCATGACCGCACTCCCTAACAGTTTGCACAAGTTGTTGACTTCCAGAGATAAATGCTTAGGCCCTTGATCCACTGAGTTTTAGCAGTTAGGCATTGGGTGCTTTCCCATTTTATATTTATGATAACTTGCCTTAATTTATTCTCCAAATAAGATTGAGTGATTGGCAGCACTGGCTCTTAGAGGTGAACTGTAGTTGTTGATTATAACACCTTGGATGCTTCACTATTTCGCTAACCCCCAAGGATTCTTGGTTTTAGATGGAAGGAGCGGCTCATTTGTCATTGGCAACGATCGGTTTCCAGTCTCTCTCTTAGATCTTCCCTGTATTGTGGAATCGTACAAGACTTATGATGATAATGTGCTCATCAAAACTGCTGATATTGGTCAGGTATCATCTCTTAACCTTGTAACTAAATGATCCATTTCTATTCTTTTGTCTGATTTCTTTTTTTTTTTCCCTTTTTTTGTGGCTTAAGTCCTATGTTTTTTATTAGTGGTTGGCAATGATCTCTTACTAGGCAAATTAATAGAAGTTAGTCTGGACAGATGATTATGGTGAGAGAAGAAGGCGATCCAGCTCTCGAGGGGGTTGAATACCGGCATGGCCTTACTCCGCCCATGAGGGATGCACGTAGGCGAAGATTCCGTAGGGAACCTGATCTAAACGTAGGCCTCAGCATCTAATTCTTTTTCTCTCCATAAGTTGTGTCTATATATTGTTAGATATTGGGTACTATTTTGCTATCCAAAGTGATTTATATAACAGGTGGTCTTCTTTTTCAGCCGGAGTTAGTCCAGAGGGTTGAGCGAGACCTGTTGAGTATCATGGCTGGTGGAACTGCCGAGAATGTGGATATCCTTTTCTTTAACAAAGGCTACGTGCTTTAATTCCCCATTTTTTCTATTGGGTTTCTTTTTTTTTCCTTGTTCTTTTGTAGAAAACTGATTTCATGCTCAAATGTAAATACTAAAGAAAACTCTAAAATAAAATTTAGACTTCAAATTTGAAGAAAATTAATCTTGAAAGTATAGCTATTCTTTCCCCCTTCTTCTTTTCTAATATTTATAGCCTTTTTTGTTTTTCCTTTTAAAATTTTCCTGAGGTAAAACTGATCAGCAACTATTCATTAGACAAACCCATAAATTGCAATCCTTTCAAGAAATTGCCTCACTAGAGAAATCCAAAGACTTGTCACTAACACTGAGTTCTCCCAATATTTTGTCAATAGGTTGTAGACCAATGAGCATTTTTAATGTTTATCATTGTGGTCTGTTTTTAGATCAGTTGACATGCTTATCATTGTGATCTTCCTTGACTAGCTGTTGTAGTTCACATGTTGAAGTAGTTGAGCATGAGGAAGATGCAGAAGAAGATGCTGGAAAGCAAGCTCAGCAAGATGCACCACAACCCACACCCGCAAAGCCTGATGGTCCACCAGCTGCAGTGAACAATGTTGAACCCGATAGAAGTGACTCTGATGATTCTGACGAGTCCATGTAGAGTGTGGCTTGTATATGCTGAGGTTGCATTAACTTAATAAGTGGCACTACTCCAATATGATGTATTTTAAGGGCCATTATTGATCAATGGCTGCACCTGCCCCCTTGGTGTTACTTGGGTATGGGTTGGCTTTTTTGTAACAAATTAGGAATCATCAGAGCTCTCAAGTGTCTTTAATGGTTAAAAAGGGTTTAGCTAATACGTGGTGATTATGGGGATTTAGTTTTCTTGAAGTCGGTTGAGCGCTTGGTGGTGGATTGTCTGGCTGCACAGCATAATGTCCAAGGATCAAATCCTACTTGATCAATTCCTCAACTAAAGAAAAAGGAGTATCAGTTGTGTTTAATGTTGTTTACTCTTGAAAGGATTGGTTAAAATGCAGAGAAGCACAAAAAGAAAAGACTCTTGACTTCTTGATCATTGGTCTTTAGATTACTTGGGTGTTCTCTCTCGCTCTCTCTCTGATGTAGAGTGGGTTGGGGCTTGAGATCGTTCTCTCTTTTATGGGGTGCTTTAATCCTGTTTTTGGAAAGGTGATAATGTCATTATCGATCTTTTTGTATACGGTTATAGGCTTATTATCTTTTTTTGATATATTTGCTTCTTCCAGATAATTGTATTGTTTTAAGTATGATGCTGCTATAATTCGGGTCTAATGACATTCATGTAGGCATGCCTATGATGCAGACACAAATTGACTATAACATCTTCTATGTCTTCGTATAATCAACCACTGGATCATGTATATATGGTTCTCAATCATTGTCTCACCAAAAGTAAATAAGCGACATAAGCTTATAAATGGTGAATTGGTGGTTTCAATTCATCCCGTGCTGTCATTTTTTTTCGAATGGCGCAGAGGCCTGCGGCCACATGAAATTCTTTTCCTTTACACATTTCAAAATGTGTCAAAACTGTTTGGGTTTGCTAATTGAGTTGTCAAGGTTCTAAGTAATTAAGGACTCCCTTCAACCTCTAATTCGGGCATACTGACAATATGGAAGCATTGGGTTAGTTTTGAGGTTTCGAATAAACCAAAAAGGATATTGAGATAATCTTAACAGTTTTACGAGAGTAAGACAACATCCTCATCATACAAGCTACCCAGAGAAAAATAGAAAAGATCGCTAATATCCCTTTATTTTTCCATAATTACAAAAGTACCAATTTTTTTTTAAAAAAAAAATTATGCACCTACCCTTGTTTTCCCTTTTCCTTTTATATAGGTCTAACATATCCGTAAAACCATGGCTATAGATCTGTTGCAACCGTATTGCCACCCTGGTCTTCCCCTATGTTCACAAGATAGAAAGCAAGTGGGAATGGGCAGTTCCACAGTGCTTTTGCTATGGATCTAATAGATTCATAGTTCTTTCACTACGATAAGCTAGTTCTTTGGCACTAGAAAGAGCTTGGCATTTGGGTATAACAGAAAAGAAAGGGGGGAAAATAGGTAAGAATGTAAATTTCAAAAAATATTTGCTTTTTTTGTAATTTGAAAAATCAGAGGGATATTATCAATAATTTCCCCACAAATTTATACCAAATATTAAAGCATTTCTTCTTATTTGATACGAATCCAATTTATCAAAAAAATATATATGCAAATTATTGGCATTTGCCATAGATATTTACTACTTTTCTAAGTACAAAAATGCATTACAGGCCATTGCAATCAAATTAAGATACACCTCAAAAATTTACTAGAAAATGTTGTTTCGATGCCCAAAAATTCTCAAATCGATCATCTCAACCGCCAGATATATGATATGAGAAAAAATGAATTTCAAGTCTTGAAAATAGTGCATCACGTAATACATTTTTTGGATCGTCAATTTTCAAAAGTTTCAAATGTTCATAGATATCCTCGATCTACACTATTTTTTAAGCTTCAAATTTATAATTAGATATAAAAATCAATTTTCAAGCCACGACAAAGTTTTCTAATACTGAAAACATCTTTCAATACTATTTGAAGGTGCACCTTACTTTGATTGTTTAGGGCCCACACCCTCTTAAGTTTTGAGTCAAGGGATAGTGTCTGGATTGTTTATTTATAAAGAAGTGTGTGCAAAAATGGTTCAAAAGGAAGGCCACACCAATCAAAATATACGCCACCAAAATTCTTTTCCTTAACATCCATAGAGGCCATCCTTAAAGAACGTACATATTATAGGCATCAAGAAAACATTGAACAAGAAGATGACAATTTGCCAACACTTGACCTCCGTCTTGCTAAATTGGTGCCACTTTCTTCGACCAAATTCCAAAAGGAAGGCCCTTGCATCATTTGGCAGCCCCAAAAAGACCACTAAGGTTATCTAAAAGAGTTAGCACTGAACATGGTAAAACAATGAGTTGGAGTATCACATTAGAACACCAGCAACCTGCAATATCTTCTTGAAGAAAAGTCGACACATGCTCGTGCTGAATATAATCTCTTCTTCCCTCATCCATTCCGGAGCCACTCTCTCTAGTGTACCAAGTGACAATAAACGATACAACAGCTCTGCCTCTGTTTCTTCTCCACCGCTAACCCAAGTCAAACTGAAAGAATAACCTGCAAAATTCCAAGATTTAAGAAGGCAGCAAGTGACTCATGATAGCCACAAATACACATATCCATAGCCATAAAGTGTTTGTGTGGGAAATGAAATTAAAAAGTGAAGGGAAAATCATGTCATAGTCATGCTATTCTCCCACTTTGCAACTCTTTTTAAGAAGATTAAGGGATTGGCCGATATGTATATTGTTATAATGACTTGAAACAGTATTAATTTAGCTAGAGAAAATACTCCTATTTCGACATGGAAGATTTATCCCACATGAGTTGCAAGTAGCATCACACTTTGTGAACTGATATCCAATCCAATTTGTATGAACTTTACTTATGTCAAATGGGCATTTCTTTTTTATGTGATTTATCATGTGTTCCAAAGTGGTATTTTGATCTGTGGTTTTGAGGTTGAGAGTACAATCTATCATAACAAATTTTCACACGGCAGTATAATTTACTAGAGCAATGGGCATAGGTCAACATAGATTTTGGAGAGTGCTTTTTTTAGAGAACTGCTATTTTATTATTCCCTCTTGCAATTTCTTGTATACACAAAATCGTGTAAAAATTGTACCAAAATGAAAACTAAGAGGTTAAAAGAATGTGCCATCTCTTTCCTTAGGGCTCTTTCTTGTCCAAGTAATATGCCACCAAATTTCACCCTCTACAAATGTGAGAAAAAAAATATCTCGATATCATGAAAATTGTGGATAATCTCTAAGGGTGTTAAGCTTCTTTCTTGGCCAACTTATAAAGTTTCTGGAATCTCCTTTTCGCACTACTGCATTCCATCTGGCAATAGGAGGCATATGCCTGTTTGCTGTTACCATGTTAGACGTGCATGAGTTTATGCTTCATTTGAATCACCGCCCCTAGTGGTCACAAGTAGGTGGAAATAATATCCTCTTAGTGGTTGCAAAGTAAACCAACTACTATTGCCTGACAGGACTCTCAAGGAGCATCCATAAAAATTAAGTTCAATACAACCCTCTGGAGGTAGCTGCCAATTATGGGCCCAGATGCCTTATGATGTGGAACTTCATGCTATATTCCACCATCGTGTATGGAAATCAGAGGTCGAATAACCCCAGAGTTCCTGCTTAGACAGAGCCCACGAAATAACTTATCTCCTTATCTGATCTATAATGTGCGGCAGCTCCTTAGATTGTCCTTGGAAGACACATTTATTTCTTTTATTCCATACGCTCCATAGGACCGCTGCAGCTGTTAAATCTCGATAGTCGAAGTCCTTTGCTTAGTAAGGTGGGTGAGAACCAATGTATGATTAAACTCCCCACTGATGCTGGCCATACACAACGGTTCTAGGAAAAAGGATCATACTTCTGATGCAAACTTACAGTGTAGGAGCAAATGGCTAAGAGTGTCCTCGTGGCCTTTACACATATTGCACCGATTTGGTATCGTGAGACCTCTGTTGCAGGTGATCCACAATTAGTATCTTCTTAAGTTTGGCTAGTCACAATAGGGATTGAGTTCTTGGTGGTGCAGGCAGTTTGCAAGCTTTCTATGCTGATGCCATTCCTGGGTTTTCCCCCACTAGTCTCTTATAGGACTTAACCGAGAATCTACCTCTGGTGTCTGGAAACCAGATGAAAGCATCTTGTATCTCCCGGGCAAGGAATTAATTGCAGCTCTCCTGGCATGTTTCACAGTTACTCAGCCTTATTTACCAAGACAAAACAGTCAAGGGAATCATGAAAGATTTTCTAGGAAGATGGTACTTTCTCCTTTTTGAATTTGATGTGGTTTGAATACTCAGGGCTTAGAGAAACCATGAAAGGTTTTGGAAGGGAGACCAGTGCCTGGGGGAAGTTATCTTGTAATATAATAAGAAGCTCTAAATCCTTTTGTACAGTTTGAGAGAATGAAACAGAGACGTAATGAGAGGATCAACATTTAGCTTCCAGTCTTGATGAATTGATGCCTTTGATAGAGAGGAATAGATAAAATCCCATAAAAAACTTCCATGACAACTCAAAGGCAAAATCCCAAGGCGTTTATCTTAGGAACCTCCCTCCCTGCACATAAGAGCCAAACAAAGCAACTATATTCGCTAAATGCGAAACAAAGCACTAATTGCTCTCACATGCAGCTGACCAAAACCAGAATCAGCTTAGAACCTTACTAATAATGTGAAAACAATCATATGTCAATACATGAAATAATCATATGACAATACATGACCATGGTGCCATAGTGCTAAGATTTAGTAGTTACCGCTTGCTTGGTGAAGAACTGAAAGTTCCACATCTTCTCCCTTGTTAACAATTGAGAAACTCATTCCAGCTAAACATTCCAATAACATTTGAAACAAGTTATTCGCATGATGAGAATTTGTAACTTCATCTCCTGAAAATAATAAGATTATTCCCTTATTTCAATTAGCAAATACACAATCACTCAAAAAATTAACCAAATAGAACACCAGTCATACACTTGAGAGTTGAGACCCACCTGTGCCTGTCATTTTCTCCTCCCGGCAGCCAATCTGAAAGAAAATATTATTACAGGAAAAAAGGACCAACCAAAGCTAAAATATCCAATGAATCCAACATCACTTTGTCTCTCACTAACTTACCTGCCAATTCTCTTTGCCACCATTTATAGATGTGGTAGATTTGCACAGAACTCCTGGTTCAAAACTCCCCATACAGTCCTCTCGGACATTGGGAGTTTGTGTAATGTTGATTGCCTCTGCCTGAGTAGCAAATCCCTCAGAACCTGGCTTGAAGTGAGAATGCATGATACAGAGTCAGTACTTTGATGGTGGGAGCTATATGTTCAATATCAGGACATCTAGATATAATTTTTAACCTCGCAGGTCCCTGGAAGATCCAGATTTCCTCTTCTTGGTGCCATGCTCATCACCACATCTAGATAGAATTTTTGAACCTTGCAGGTCCCTAGCAGATCGAGATTTTCTCTTCTTGGTGCCATGCCCGTCATCATCTACACCACAAGGTGTTTGCTTCTCTAGTAAATTCCTAAGCCTCTCAAGTTCTTCATAAAGTTTTTTTTCTGCCATGAACAGAACCCTGTTATTATTTGGGAAAAGGAGCATTCATATACTGAATAACAAAAGAAAATATATTCTAGAATTCAGTGGATGATAAATAGCGTTCACTGGGTCTCAGCTATGTTTTGATATGATGGCATTAATGGATAGACTGGAACCCCAAACTAAGACCCTATATAAATCATGCTCTCCCTCATTGCTGTCGACTACTTCGAAAGACAGGGCTGACCAGATGAACTACCAAGTTTCCATAATCCCCTGGGCTATATTATACTTAATTTGGTTCCCATATCTTGTGATCAGTAGAACAACAAAAAATAACACATGCAAATATCAAATATCAAAATCTTTAGTACGTTTATATAAGGAAAAAGTTTATATAAGGTCGAAACCTTAGAATGTAGAATTACGGATGCACCTAAAAGATTCATCAGAAAAGGTTGTTTTAATGTTGAAAAAACCTTTAATTGATCATCTCAACATCGAGAGGCATGAACATCAAAGAAAAAAAAGATTTTGAGTCCCAGAAATAGTGCATTTTTCATTACATTATCTAGACCGTCCATTTTCAAGATTTTCATATATTTACAGATCTGCTTGATTTTAACCATTTTTGGAGTTTAAAATTTTATAATTGGATATGAAAATAGATTTTGAGGTAATCCTAAGAATTTTTTCACCAAAATTACATATTATCGTAAACTTTGGAGGTTCGCCTTAATTGGATTGTTTAAGGTTGCGACCTTATAGAAACCACACCTTTTATATAATGCTATAAAAAACTCCACCATTGCTGGTCCCAAGCCCAGATGAGAAAGGAGGGTGATCTTGGGTTGGCAGGCAGCGGAAAATTTTTGCCACATCCCTACCATGAATTATTAAGAGGAATGATGGAACATGATTCTTGTAGCTCCCCCAGATAGTTAGGATAAAGCTTGGATGATGATGATGATATAATGTTGCAAGAGAAATAAGGCATTTTCATAAGGAAAAGTGTAGCGTGTGACAAGAGACACACTTCTACATGTGCATTGATGCAACTAGATCCATCTTGAAGATGAATGTTAAAAGGGGGCAGTCGTGCCAAATTCTCTAAATCAACGGTCTAGAAAAATACATCAAAATTTATCTTTTATTTTAAATATTATTATTAATGTTATTATTTTACATTCATGTTCACCATGGTATAGATTATTAACCCCTAAAAAGATTTTAATCCAAATCCATCTCTAAGATCGATTTCGGAAGGAGGACTCATATGAATGGATGAGCCAGCCAACTCATGGAAACCTCGTCTTTTTGATAAAGAATGTTGAAGAATCAAATAAATATATCTACCCTTATAAGGAAAGTAATCAATAATGACAAGATAATGGTTGCCCCTTACTTTTTTCACTCTCTGCCATCAAAAGATCCAGGCATTCTGCATATTTGTGTTCTACAGAATCAGACCTGAAACATGATAATGTATATAAATTAGAAATATCAGCAAGGTCAACATTCATGTGCTTGAATGGAGTCATCTAGACATGGAGAAACCAATTAATCAATTACCCATCAGGAGACATTAAGGCCCTCAACTCATCTACTTGTGCTTGTAACCTCTCATTTTCCCTTTTCAGTTGCTCCATCAAGTCCTCCGCTGCTGTATAGAACAAAAGGGTAACCAATATATCACAATTTAAATTAAGTTTCATCAAAATTATTAACAAAAACACCTTATTTATCAAATAGTCACACTGATAGCACCTGACCCAGTCATATGAAACTGTGAAAGGCATATCTTAAGACTGCAATAACCAAGAAAATAAATATCAAACTATTAAATTAACAAAAAAAATTATATTTGGATAGTAGCCCAACAAAATTTACCCACATTAGCACAGCAGAAGCCCACCGAAACAAAACATTTTTGCCAGCCAAGAGACATATAACCAAAAAGAAAAGCACATCAAGAGCACATAAATAACTTAAAATCAAACTGAGGATGCCTTATTATTAGATTTATGTCAGGAGGAAGTTTGATGTTAAAGCAACGAACTCCTCTTTATGCAAAAACTAAAGCTTCGCAAAGATATATACATATGTGCACCAATCTTAAATGGAAATATCAATATGCCAAAACTGAGGGAGAAAATGAAAGCAGTAAAATGACACGTTATAATGGAGAACCATTTCAAGCAATTCATCATGAGATCTACGACCCTCAATAAAAGTGCACAATATAGATATAACCAATAATTTAAAATAACACTAAATGGCCAAGGGGGCTGTTTTTTGGCTGCCTAGGCATGATGTGGTCACCTAGGCAAGCACCTTGGCATCAAGGTGCCCCAATCACATATATGCACTCCAAAAGTACATATATGCATATATATGTAGATATATGGAAATATGTAGACCCCAAATAACTAGATATATATAAGTATAATATAATATAATATATATTATATTATAATTATAGTT